GCGCATTCTGCGATAACGCCACCAACGGCAAATGCAGTCGATGCATAGAAAATAGACGGGATGCGAGAGGGCGCTCTCCTTGACAAGTAAAAATACCAAATGTATATGTTGCGTTAGACTTGCTTCATACAAAAAAGTCAAGTCTTGTTGTTGTTTTCAAACATAAAAAAAAGATAAAAATGCCCATAGTACAAGACGAAATAGTGTTGCCGAAAATGAACAGAGATAGCGAAAAACCACGTCTATCGCAATTTAATTCGATGACAGCTAATTTCCTGTAAGCAATGAATAGTTGTTATATAACTACATGTATTTATAAATTTCAAATGAAGGTTGAAAACAACTTGATCAATACTGCATCGGTAATTCGGTCAATAGGTTTGAAGGACATCCGCAAAGACCCATTGGGAATAAAATCAAAGCTCACTCGGGTCTTCCAGAGTGAATGTTTTATGAATATTTTATTAATTATCAAAAAATCATTCATGCGTTCATAAAATTCTTTATTTAAAATATTAAAAAACAAAATAAAGAAAAGACGGTATGCAAGCCCAGTGTTGCATGTAATTATTTGAATGAACGTACAAATCTAGAGTCAGATACAGTCGATGCATCGTGTTCGATACAGATCCCTCGCGACGTATGCCAACGCGTTAAAGCGGGGGAATCGTCACCTGCGCATGAGTCAGATGGCTATTGCGTGGCATTGTTCACAAACAAGCGTCTACCCGCGAGCCTTTGCGTTTTTAGCACTCGTTGTTATCGTTGCTTGGGAACCGAGAAACTGATTAAAACATCGCCTCCACTTGAAACTTAGACGATTCGTTTAGCTGAAGTTGTTTTAGCTCCCTAGGCACAGTTTCGCCGTAATACTCTTTCAGATACAGATCATACAGTAATATACCAAACAAGTTTGAATGTGGAGGTGCTGTAACTGATAATAAGTCTAATATTGCTACGGGATTTAATAATTATTTTGTAAATGTTGAGTCTGATTTGGCTAGTAAAATTCCTTCTATAAATGTAGATTTTAGTAAATATATGAGTATGCCTGTATAAAACACTGTGTTTATACAGTTAACACGGCGTAACACGTGAAGAAATTATAAGGGAGACTTCAACATTTAAAAGCAAACATTCTAGGGGATATGATGGATTAAATATCATATTGTGAAATCTGTAATATATTCAATTGCAACACCTTTTGCACACATATGTTAGATATTTCCAAACTGTATGAAAATTGCTAAAGTGGTGCCCATTTTTAAACCTGGTGAAAAAACATCCCTTTCAAATTATAGACCAGTATCACTACTGCCTCAGTTTTCCAAAATTTTGGAAAAACTTTTTAATAATAGGCTATTAAATTTTATTGAACATAATGATGTATTGTTTAAAGGTCAGTTTGGATTCAGGAGAAATATCGTGATCTACTTTAGCTTTATTGAATTTGACAGAAGAAATTACAAATGCAATGGTTGCTTCTAAATACATGTATACGGTTGGGGTCTTTATAGACCTGAAAATGGCATTTGATACAATAGATCATAAATTACTTGTTAAGAAACTGAAATGGTATGGGATAAGGGGCATTGCGTCAGATTGGATTTGTAATTACTTAAGTAATAGAAAGCAGTTGGTATCAATAGAGGGCGCTGATTCTTCTTTAGAAAATATATGTTGTGGCGTGCCCCAGGGTTCAATCGTGGGTCCTTCACTTTTTATCCTATATGTAAATGATATTTGTAATGTTTCTAAGTGTTAATTTTATTTTATACACAGATGATACCAATATCTTCTGTTCAGGTAAAAACTTGAGACAATTATGTGCAACCGTATATCAAGAGCTTGAACATGTGCAGACATGGTTTGTAGTAAATAAGTTGTCTTTAAATTTGTTATAAACAAATTACATCATATTGTATCTTGCAGAGAGGTAAGAGATGATGTGTCTTTAAAAATCAATAACAAAGAAATTCAGCGTGTTTATTCAACCAAATTCATTGGGCTGATAATTGATTGTAAACTGTTTACTTTATTTACTTTATATCAATCATTAATAATCCCATATATCACATATTGGTGTGAAGTGTGGAGTAACACGTACAGATCTTCATTGAAAAGCTTATAATCCCATATATCACATATTGCTGTGAAGTGTGGGGCAGCACGTGCAAATCTTCATTGAAAAGCTTATATTTGTTACAAAAAAAAAGCTATACGAGTGGCGGCAAAAGCAGAGTATAGTAATCAAACAAAACCTATTTTTTATAAGTCATATAATATGACATTATTGAAATAAGAACAGTGTATTAGTTCTTTATAAAGACTAGGGTAAAAGCTTCGTGTTTATCTTGTGCTAGAGTAAACATTTGGAACAGTATTGATAATAATCGGAAAAATTGTAAATCGTTTCACACATTTAAACAAATGTACAAAATGCATTTGTTAGAACAATATCATGAAATGTAATTTTTCTTTTATGATAATGTTAAATTAAGCATGTTATTTCATGTTATTTGTAATTAATATTTTCAATCGCCTATTAACGCAATAAGCAGTGCTTCGTGATGTCTCTTTTTTCTTGTAACCATATTTATTTATTTATTTATATTTTTTTTATATTTTGTGCATAATGTATTAACTGCAGATGGATACAAGGAAATACAATTATTGTCATTGTCATATAGAAATTACATCTGGACGCCTTTTTTGTCCTACTCCATCCGTGTATTGGAAGATTATAAAGAAATGTCAGCTAGACAACTAAGGAAGTCATGTTGGCACATTTAAGGGAAAATAAGACTTTTCAGACGAAAAACCGCACAAAAAAAAAAAAAAAAAAAAATGCACGTTGTCTTTCAATCAATCCCCATGATACCAAATGATTGATTCCTATTCAAACAGCAAGTCCTACATTTCTGTGTAAAATTGCATAATTTGTGACTGAACGTTTAACACTATTGTCTTACAGTTGTCTTGAAACTACACAGTCCGATACTTGCTCTGAAGTTTGTATAAATACAAATTTACATAAGGGTTGGACCATTAGAAACTCTTTATTTATTTATTTATTTATTTATTTATTTATTTATTTATTTATTTATTTATTTATTTATTTATTTATTTATTTATAGCTTTTTTGTCAGTTTTAAAATGAAATGATAACAATGTTCATATTTGTTTTACTGCATATATATATATATATATATATATATATATATATATATATATATATATATATATATATATATATATATATATATATATATATATATATATATATATATACATATATATATTATATATATATAATTCTTTGTGCAGATTTTGTTTTCTTCACCCCAAGTTGCTTATGGTAACCTTCTTATTGCCATTTCCCGGCATCCTCTGCAAAACAAAATGGCTGCGTCCATTAACAAAATGTGCCTTACACGACATGTCGCCCGACTATCCATTTGTAGGCGCAACTTCTCTAAAACATGTGTTTTGTGCAAAAAGAAGATAAAGGAGAAGTATACAGAAAGGTACGTCTCAGCAAAACCCCAGTGAACGTGAGCAACCCACTACATACTGCGTGAGTGCTCGGATGCTGGTTTAAATAGATGTATGTAAACAACAATTGAAGCACGATAATGTTGAAGGCAGATCCTCATTCCGGATCACACGAATTATCGAAACTGTACGCAATGCTTATGATATAGATTCTGAACGATACGAATCATGCATATTTTGCACAAATATATTCAGTTGCTGTGTTAAATTAGAAACTGACACCGGAAACACCACCAGCATCAGGGGTCATTCCATTTTGTTTTCACACCCCCTACGGATGGATATTAAGGTTATGACACCCTATGGATTCAAATCCCCCATTCAGGTGTCGGATTTTTGTTATCTAACACACCCCCTGGAAACTTTACTGATTTGACGTATACGGATGGGTATGTGAAAAAATTAAATATATAAAATATATGACACCTCTCGGAATTAAACCATCCATACTTTTTGTAGAAATATGACCACTCGGATTTAAACCATTCGTAGGGGGGGGGGGGTGGACAAAAACTGGAATGACCCCAGGTCGCAGAAATAGTACAAGTTACCTCTCTGTTATTTCGTGGTCCCTTCGAGAAGTACCCACGAAATAAATAAAAGGGAAAAAGTTTCTTTTGTATTCCACCACTATTTCTAACTTTCGCTCCAAGGCCCTTACCCCCAATTCACTTGTGTATGCCTCTCTAAATAACTATAGGTGTACTTAGGAGGGGCATATACTCTATAATGTTAACTCTGTCGTTACGGTATTAATAAAGCATTATTCTATTCTATTCTATACAATCAAATTGGAACAGGCTACATAAATAGTGTATGGGTTTATATCAAGTCTAGAAACATAATATTGGTTAAAGTTTTGATGACAACACTGACGTTAATTTTGATTTATTTAAACAAATTTGGGTATACTGCATACAGTGCTTTCAGAAATACCATTTCTGATATTTACAGTTTATAAACGTGAAATATTTATAAATTTGCAAACTGTCGTTGACAAATCACAATGATTGCTGAAACAGTGGATGAATACACCAGCTGAGTTGTACAGTGTACAATACTGGTAGCTGATTGGCTAATTGCTGCACATCCTGAAACACCAGCTGAGTTGTACAGTGTACAATACTGGTAGCTGATTGGCTAATTGCTGCACATCCTGAAACACCACCTGAGTTGTACAGTGTACAATACTGGTAGCTGATTGGCTAATTGCTGCACATCCTGAAACACTGAAATATTATAGCCATTCCAGTTGTCTCAATTTGACCGAAATGTTTGATAAATTTGTTATAATCTACTAATCTAATAAAATATGGAAACAGCTTTTCTAAAAAGTAGACAGTGTTGATCTAATTTGAGCCAATCACTATTAAATATGAATTACTGTTAGTGATTGGTGTTTACATTTATTATAAATATGTTAATTAACTAAGGTAAAGCTTCCCGTCATATACTGTATGCGGAGTGTGTCTTCACTAATCAGTGAATTTTAAAGTTGGCCAAAATAACTGATATATAATTTGTTCAGAATAATTAAAATTCTATTTTAATGCCTCGTGCATTTATTTAGCACAAGTTGTGCTTTTGTCCATTATGGTTCGTGAGTGGTTATTTTTTAAATCATAACTTCCTCATATTCACCTATATGACGTGATTTAAAGTGACAGCTCTGAAAAGCTCCAATATGTAAAGGCAGTGGTGGACGTTGGTGGTGTGACATTTGTGTTGATAAACATTGATTTTCCCACAATCCAATGCACAATTTTAATGAAAATCACAAGTATGATTTTTGACCTAGGCTCGATGTGCACTGATTACTGCTGGTGACTCGTTCAAGACCTTCCCATTACCTAGTTAAAGCATGGTACCATCTCTGTTTGTACTTGTTTTTTCTTTGTTTATATGAGACCCATATCTTGCTCATACTTGGCGTCAAAACCACTCTCTCTTAAAAAAGTATGTCTAGCCATGGGTGAGTGGATGTAAGAGGAAACAATATTCCTGTGTTGCAGCAGAAGACAATATCCTTTTTTATAAAAAATGAATATTTTTTGCCATTTACCTCTGTGTTTATGTTTACTTGTTTTACAGTATAAGTAAATCCTGGGAATCAATGGTTGGACTAGAGATTCATGCGCAGATATCTTCCAAATCTAAAATGTTTTCAGGATCAGCTGTTAAGTTTTCATCGCCACCCAATTCATTGGTCTCTTTCTTGGATGCTTCACTGCCTGGTACACTACCTGTAAGTTATCCATTGCGCTGTTTATATCTGGCTCATTGCTAAAAATTCATTCTCAATTTAGTTCTGTTTATATCTGGTACACAACTGTTTTTATCTGGTACACTACTGTTTTTATCTGGTACACTACTGTTTATATCTGGTACACTACTATTTATATCTGGTACACTACTATTTATATCTGGTACACTATTATTTATATCTGGTACACTACTGTTTGTATCTGGTACACTACTGTTTATATCTGGTACACTACTATTTATATCTGGTACACTACTTTTTATATCTGGTACACTATTATTTATATCTGGTACACTACTATTTATATCTGGTACACTACTGTTTGTGTCTGGTACACTACTATTTATATCTAGTACACTACTTTTTATATCTGGTACACTACTGTTTGTATCTGGTACACTTCTATTTATATATGGTACACTTCTATTTATATCTGGTACTCTACTGTTTATATCTGGTACACTATCTTGTGAGTCATTTTAATTCAAACCTGGTTATAGATTCCCATCATTTTGTTTTATGGTTTTGATTATATAAAAAATGTTGTTCAATTACATTCATACTTGTCACCCTGGGATGCATAAACACATATAATCAGGTTCCAAGTGGCCAACTGATGTACCAAAATAGAGCATTTCTGTCATTCTGCAATTTGATCTTGTGTGTGCCTTGAAAGCATGTGATCCATTGTTTGTAAAAAAAATCAGCATATTCAGATTAGCTTCATAGTATATGATACCATATTCATCAGCCAATCAACATCATGGTTTTAGCAGCCCAGACATTATTTATGAGCGAGAAATCAGCTGAAAAGGAACGGGGCATAGTACGAGTCACACACGCTGTATGTGTTTACTTTGATCACTATGTTACCTTGCTTGCTGTGTATTTGATGTTACCGGGGGGTATTAAGTTGTAAAAATGATTTAGATAGATTGGTGAATTACTAGAAGATTTACATCCTTATCTGCTTTATCTATCTGCTCCAACAAATCATGTGTACATCTTGTAAACATACCGTACTTCCTCGAACATAAGCCCCCTTCCTAAGTATAAGCACACCCCTCTGTTTTTAGACATTCAACGAGTTGAGGGCATCCCAGGCCCAGGGTGTTTTACCGAGCTTCGATGACATTTATTAAAATATGCATGTAAAAAGTGTATTTCATTGCATAATATAATAATCGCGGTACCTGCTTTTACAAGAAATTTCGCATTAATTTCAGAGTGCAAGACAGGCAAACGTACGGAACATGGTTCGCACTTTTGTATTCTGTTATTTGCTCACGATGAACCCCGATGTTGCAATACTGAAGTAATCCATATTTCTTTTGAGTAGTAGTTTTTGAAATGCCAAAAATGTGATCCTCAAGTCGTGAAACCTGGTCGTTGAGCATCCCTTTACTTTTTCGAAAAATCGTGTCCATTGAGACTATCGTGAATGGGGTGTGATCAACGGAGCAAACTATTCTTCAACTTGACTTGTTGGCGACCGTGAAAGGTTTAAATACTTCCTCACCCTCAGTTTACCTATCGAAAATTGCGAATCAACCGTTCTTAGGGAAAACATCACCATTTTGTGTCGAAATCAGTGTTAACAGATAGCATTTTAACATCGTGGCAATTCACTTCCGCATTGTGTTGAAAAATTACTCCATCAATAATCTGAAAACTTCGTATGTACAACACAGCATTTCGATTGGTTAATGAAAGACGTGACCTGTTAGGTCAAAGGAAGTTGTACAGGTCTAATCATGATGAAAAACACCTTGGCGTAAATTGCTTTGTATTGAGAGTTTGCGTACGAGCGAAAATAGTACAGTACAGGTCTAATCATGATGAAAAACACCTTGGCGTAAATTGCTTTGTATCGGGAGTTTGCGTACGAGCGAAAATAAAGATAATGATAAAGATATTGCTTTCGACTGTTTTTTTCTCACCCCCTACCCATTTTTGCACTGTAAATTCAGACGGTATGTAAAACATATTCTAATAAAATTTGTGTATTTTTATAACCATGTTTGTTTCTTCATTGAAAAAAGTGTTTTGGAAATCAATGACGACTTGTTGCGCATTTTTCCCACAGAAAGATGTAATATTGCTTCGAGACCGTCACTGTAAACGAAAAATGTAATTTGGATAATTTTTCGGGGGTGGGAAGATGGTTACAATTTTAAACCCCCTAAAAAAATTTCTTTTCTGAGGTGGTCCTTGAGAATAACCCTAATTTTCCCGATTTTACATGTTCAGGCCCCTGGGCTTATGATTGGAGAAGTATGGTATATACCATAAGGCATGCACATTCATCTTACAGTGAAAATGTACAACAACTGTTATGTCATAAATTTTCATACTGGTTTATTGAAATACATATTCAATATTTGCGAGTTAGTGGAAATCAGTTTTCGTTGCAGTGAAATTGTCATTAGGGTTTAAAAAACGCAGGGTCCCAGTTATTTTCACATAACTTTGTTCTACCTAAGTCCAATAAATAGAAATTGAACTTTTTACATTGTGTATTGATTACATTACAGGTATTGAACAAATACTGCGTTGAAGCCGGAGTATTAACATCATTAGCATTAGATTGTCAAATCAACAGAATATCATACTTTGATAGGAAACACTATTTTTATGCTGATCTCCCAGTAAGTATTTATTACCTGCAATTATATGACAATCATTTGTGCTAGTACTTTGGTCATTGGTCGTTTTCAGCATTAGTCAACTTTGGTCATTGGTGGTTGTTAGCATTAATTAACTTTGGTCATTGATGGTTTTCAGCATTAGTCAACTTTGGTCATTGGTGGTTTTCAGCATTAATTAACTTTGGTCATTGGTGTTTTCAGCATTAGTCAACTTTGGTCATTGGTGTTTTCAGCATTAATTAACTTTGGTCATTGATGGTTTACAGTATTAGTCAACTTTGGTCATTGATGGTTTTCAGCATTAGTCAACTTTGGTCATTGATGGTTTACAGTATTAGTCAACTTTGGTCATTGGTGGTTTTCAGCATTAATTAACTCTTGTCATTGGTGTTTTCAGCATTAGTCAACTTTGGTCATTGGTGTTTTCAGCATTAATTAACTTTGGTCATTGATGGTTTACAGTATTAGTCAACTTTGGTCATTGATGGTTTTCAGCATTAGTCAACTTTGGTCATTGATGGTTTACAGTATTAGTCAACTTTGGTCATTGGTGGTTTTCAGCATTAATTAACTTTTGTCATTGGTGGTTGTTAGCATTAATTAACTTTGGTCATTGGTGGTTTTCAGCTTTAGTCAACTTTGGTTATTGGTGGTTTTCAGCATTAATCAACTTTGAACATTGGTGGTTTACAGTATTAATCAACATGGTTTTCAGCGTTAATCAACTTTGGTCATTGGTGGTTTTCAGCATTAACCAACTTTGGTCATTGGTGGTTTTCAGTATTAATCAACATGGTTTTCAGCGTTAATCAACTTTGGTCATTGGTGGTTTTCAGTATTAATCAACTTTGGTCATTGGTGGTTTTCAGTATTAATCAACTTTGGTCATTGGTGGTTTTCAGTACCGGGGGGTATTAATCAAATTTGGTCAGTCAATTGTTTGCATATACATTCATTTTCAGGCAGGTTATCAGATAACTCAACAGAGGGTTCCCTTAGCAACAAATGGAAAGATAGAATTTTCCTTATTTGATCAAAACAGCAGCAAGAATGAGCCACAAAAGATGTGTGTGAGATTAAAACAAATCCAGTTAGAACACGACAGTGGAAAGAGTTTACATGATGACGTCAATCACGAAACTTTGGTTGATCTAAATCGTTCTGGTAAGCATTACTAGTATATTTACCTCATAGTCATACATGAAGTAGCACTTTTCAGTTATACATGTATGTTTATTTCAGAAGTGAACCTGGCTGAAACTTGGTATGATGACAAAACGTTATTTTTAGAACGTCAATTCCAGCTTACTGGTGACCATTTTGTGTTTTCACTGTCCTACCAATTTCTCAGTCTCAATGTTACTGTCTCAGTCTTTTACTTTTAAGTTTTATCTCAATGACTTCTCATCATTTTAAAATGATAAGGCACTTGAATAAAACATTGTTTTCCATTAGGCATTGGATTAATGGAGCTCGTAAGTGAGCCTGATTTACAGAATGGGAGCCAGGCTGCTGCTATGGTTCGGGAACTACAGTTAATATTACAGTATATAGGTACATGCGATGGCAAGATGGAAGGTATGTTATGGTGAGGAACTATTTGTTTTACTCAAAGCCATATTGTCATGGTCTGTGTTTGTGCATACCTCCTTAGCGCAAAAGTTAGAGGTCAAGATCGTTAGCTTATACTAAGATAACATGCACAGACACTAAGCGCTAAGTAACATAATGTTTGAGTTTAATCTGACATGCTTTCAAGACGTGACCGACCCATAGCATCGACTAACGAAGTGTGCAGCAAACAGTTAATTTTGGTATATCATTTCCGACATGACAAGCACTGTCAGCGCATCCAGAGATATTGAACAAAATGGACTGAACATAATTGAGAGTGTACTCTTCTATACAACTACAAGTCTTTCTACAACTTGCACTTTCTAAATTTGCATTGTTATTGTTTTATGTTCATAGATAATCATCCCGGGTTACTGTACTGTGGAATGATTTGTTAAAAAGACTGGAAATTTGTATATCATTTCTAAGATTGGTAGTCCCTTAGTGTCTCCCATACATAAACACAACTGAGTCGGGGTGATCTGCAAACATTGAATTATTTTTAATCCCAGTTGTACTGGAATGTAGTCTGAATGCTACTGATTACTAAAACTCATCTCAGTGGATTCAAAATCATTTGCAATGACTTGTAATTGTGTAATATTCAGTAAACTCTTTTCCAATACATAGAGGGCTCTCTTCGTGTGGATGCTAACGTTTCTGTCAACAGACCAGGAGAGCCTCCAGGAACTCGTACAGAGGTGAAAAACATCAACAGTGCAAGATTTGTTAAGATTGCTATTGGTAAGTATCATATAATGAATACTGCTTGATTTAATCAATGTAATATGTCTTAAATATTCCGTTAACGTCGCTCAATTCAATTTCATAAAAGTCTTTGGAATTTGTTTACTGTGGAATACTTTATTTTCGCTGGAATTAATTTTCACTGAAAAGGCTTTTTGGGCGTTTTGCTTGGAATTTATTTTCACTGATTTTTCATGAGTTTAATGTGAAATATAGGAAAAAAAGTATATTCGCTGGATTTTATTTTCACGGAATCATCCCTTCAGCGAAAATAGCGAAAATAAATTCCAAGCGAAAATAAAGTATTCTACAGTACATTTTGTGCTTGTTGCTGTACAAGGTAGTATGTGGAAAAAAACAATTTGAATCACAGACCAATTTTTTTTAGATAAAATGTGATAATACCTGATGTAGATTATGGAGTTAATACATGGGACTCTATGGGTAACAAATTATACATGATTCGTTCAATTACAACATTTTTTTTTATAAAACTTGAGATTGAGAAATAATGTTTCTAGCACGACCAGGTATATTTCAGAAAAATGAAAAAAAAAGAGGAGTATTAATCTATTTGTAAAGATACATCAGTTTCAGTATTCGCCATATGTTAATACATACGCATGTAGAAACTTCTGCCATCCACTGTGAAACCATCCACATTTGGGAAATTGTATTGATATAATATCACTTAAAAGAAATCGTGTCCTGGACTAGCTACGAATTATTGGTTAAATCTTGGTTTGTCAGTTGGCAATAATGTGGCATTATACAGGGTGCTGAACATTACTGCGGTTTTCAGAATTATTCAACAATTATTAGGTTTGGCTATCATATTACAGACAGAAATCAACTGCTAACATTGCATGTCATAAAATGGATTCAGTCAAACTGTTTAAAAGAACATTTGAAACAAACTTCAAAATAACTTGTTCAAGTATTCTAATGAACCTGTATTGTTTTCAAAAACTGTACTATGTTTTGCCAGGTTGCAATCCAACTAACTAATTGACAGTCCAAATAACCCTTATACCTGCTGTAATTCTTATTGGTTTATTGTTACAGATAATGAAATACAGAGACATATACAAATTCTTGAAAATGGTGGCAAAGTTAATCATGAAACAAGGGCTTTTGACTTTAAATTAGGGTGAGAAATTGTATTTACTATGTACAATAATTTACTACTCTCAAAGAATCATATAATCGTGTTAATGATATGGCAAATGTCTCAATGAATCACATTATAATGTTTAGGATATGGCAAATGTCTCAATGAGACACATATTCTTGTTTAGGATATAGCAAATGTCTCAATGAATCAAATAATCTCATTTAGGATATGGCCAATGTCTCAATGAATCAAATAATCTCATTTAGGATATGGCAATGTCTCAATGAATCAAATAATCTCATTTAGGATATGGCCAATGTCTCAACGAATCAAATAATCTCATTTAGGATATGGCAATGTCTCAATGAATAAAATAATCTCATTAAGATATGGCAAATGTCTCAATGAATCAAATAATCTCATTTAGGATATGGCAATGTCTCAATGAATAAAATAATCTCATTAAGATATGGCAAATGTCTCAATGAATGAAATAATCTCATTTACGATATGGCAAATGTCTTAATGAATCAAATAATCTCATTTAGGATATGGCCAATGTCTCAATCAATCATATAATCTCATTTAGGATATGGGAAATGTCTCAATCAATCACATAATCTCATTTAGGATATGGCAAATGTCTCAATGAATCAAATAATCTCATTTAGGATATGGCAATGTCTCAATGAATCAAATAATCTCATTAAGATATGGCAAATGTCTCAATGAATCAAATAATCTCATTTAGGATATGGCCAATGTCTCAATGAATCAAATAATCTCATTTAGCATATGGCGAATGTCTCAATGAATCAAATAATCTCATCTAGGATATGGCAATGTCTCAATGAATCAAATAATCTCATTTTGGATATGGCAATGTCTCAATGAATCAAATAATCTCATTTAGGATATGGCCAAGGTCACAATGAATCAAATAATCTCATTTAGGATATGGCCAATGTCGCAATGAATCACATAACCAGATGTCCATGTAATCACTTTCAATTAATCTTTCATTTCACGGCAAATGTCACTGATATATTATTTATAAAAACAACAAATTCTTTTTTCCCCCGTTGCTGCAGTCAAAGTGTTTCAATTAGAGACAAGGAAGGCTTTTCAGATTATAGATTCATGCCAGAACCTAATCTCCCACCATTGGTTATATATGATAAGAAGACGATAATGAATGCCAGCAAAGATGATATTGCTGTTAATATTGATGACTTACGTAAAAAATTACCAGAATTACCTGAACAACAAAGACAGAGACTCACAAGGCATTATGGTATACCGCTCTTACATAGTATGGTTTTAATGGTAAGACGATTACTTAATCCTGTAGTCCTTAAACAGTTTATTCTTCTCACAACCCATATATATTCAGACAAAGTCTAGAACTGGACACTGATACATATGCAGATTACCTCAGAGCTTCTATTCCTGGATTCATTTGGATTTGTATCTCAGACATACCTGGACACTGATACATATGTATATTACCTCAGAGCTTCTATTCCTGGATTCATTTGGATTTGTGTCTCAGACATACCTGGACACTGATACATATGTATATTACCTCAGAGCTTCTATTCCTGGATTCATTTGGATTTGTGTTTCAGACATACCTTGACTCATGATCATACTGAAACATGTTGTCAACCTTTTTCTATGTTCAAGATGGCTGGCTCTCATTTTAGTTGTAAAATTGCACTAATCTTGGGCACTAAATTGTATTGAAATATAATTTTCCTGGACTCTACTAATTTGCACACCCGATTAAATTTAAAAAAAATAAATATTCGTTGTGTTAAAAATAATTTAAATTTGTATTCTTTTATTTCGTGCTCTAAATTTGTATGCAAAACATAGCAAGAAATTCATTTAAAAAAAAAATGTGTTGTATAACATAACATGATTCCTTGATGTATACAACACCTTACAGCTCAGGTGATCCCTATATACCGGAGATTTCAACATATCCTACAACTGTTTCTACAAAACATGAACTTTAATCTGTTTTATTCACAATATAAAAGTAACTACAATGTACTGGCATGTGACAAGGAAAAAGTGCTTCAAATCAATGCATAAAAATCAGAACATTTCCTTAGTTAACAGAAAGCATCGCTGTGACAGCTTCAATGATCTTGACACCTTGATGTTGAAATTTCATAACTATTATATATTAATGCCATGAGTGACTTAATGCATGAATTCACATCTTTGATTGCATACCAAATCAATGAAGCTTTTAGTTGCATAATTTTAAATTCCTCATTGTGTCTAAAATTATTCAAACAATGAACTTATATGGTTTTCGAGGAAAACAAGAATATCCATTTTTTGACTCCCATGTGCGAAGCACAAAATGGGAGTCTTTGCAGTTAGTGTGTCTGTATGTGTGTATGTGTGTATGTGTGTATGTGTGTATGTGTGTGTGTATGTGTGTATGTGTGTCCGACTGTTCCACTGCTATCTCAAGAACCATACATCGGTTTTTGATGAAACTTGGTGCATAGATGCTCTGGGCCAATGCGCAGATTTGATTAGGTTTTGGTAAAAATCCATGCTCGTTAATTACCTAATTTGCATGATAATTAGCTAATTTTTAGCTGTTCTATGACTGTTCCACTGATATCTAAAGAACCACTCATTGGATTTTGATGAAACTTGGTACATAGATGCTCTGAACATATGCGCAGATTTGATTAATTTTTGGTAAAAATCCGTGCATATTAATTACCTAATTTACATGATAATTAGCTATTTTTTAGTGGTTCCATGACTGTTCCACTGATATCTAAACAACCACTCATTGGATTTTGATGAAACTTGGTACATAGATGCTCTGAACTAATGCTAGGTTTTGATTAGTTTTTGGTAATAATCGTGGATACTAATTACCTAATTTGCATAATGATTAAGTCAATTTTCGGTTTTTCCACTGATATCTCAAGTACTAATCATCACATTTCAAATGAAACTTGGTACATAGATGTCATACGACACTGCACAGACCTGATAGTTTTTATGGTAATATCAGTACATATTAATTACCTAATTTGCATAATTAATTAATTTTCAGCATTGATATAAGTAGTTAGC